GTGGTGAGATGGTGAGTATGTACAAGCAGGCGATGGTGTACTACTTCGAGGCGCTATTTCTATATGCGCCTGAATTGACAAGAAACGTCACTTGCTCGTAACCCTGTGTGCATTCGGAATATGCATCTTCCGTATACAAATTACAGAGTGCGTAATTGTGACGAGGGGACCACAGTCCCTTTATTGTTAAGTGCCATTTTGTTACTTTTGCTTGTAGTTCATTTAAGAACGTTGAGAACTCGGACTTCACAGCACGGTAGTGGTCAACAAACCGGAGAGCCAGCGGAAGGAAACGATCTTACCCTAATTTAAGGTACTGTTCTTAGAAATTGCCGGGGAACTGAGGGAAAACCTCCACCCCCCAAGATAGGATAGTCGATGGCCTGGCCGAGACTCGAACCACGCGCATTACTAGCACAACACAGAAGAGGACTGTATGCAAACCGGAACACACTCGGGGACCAGCAGTGGCACGTGGTAGCGTAGTTGGCTGAGGCACTATGCTACGAGCCGGAAGGTCACGGGTTCACCAATGAGACTGTATTTTTTGAAATTGACCTAATCCTTCCAGCCGCAGCCGCACTGTGGCCTTGGGATCGACTCAGCCTCTAACAGAAATGACTACCATGAAACTTCCTGGGGGGAGGGGTAAAGGAAAGCCGGCGCGTAAGGCTGACAATTGTCAGATTGTCTAGAAAATGCGAGTATTTCGACGTCTCACAACCCTACGGGCCTCTACGGCCTGTTACAAGGACAGTTTTACTTTTACTTGCTTCATTCCGGGAAGCCAGAAACGTATTTTCCCACAAATTCTTTAGCTTTCGACCTGGAGACGTTTTATTTCATTTACGTTTGTTTATTTGCCACCAGCCGTTAGTAGTTCACACTCGAATGCTGAATTGACAATGATGCGGGGGGCAGGGGCCGTTGCCCACACCCATTATTCGCCACGAGGGACGAGGAAAGCAAGGAGAATCATTTCAGTCATTAAGTCAGTGTCCCAGCTCAAGATTCAACCCGAATATAGACACTTTGGGACACTTCAGTGGCGGTAACACTAATCCCAGCACTACAGCGCAAGCTTTATCTGCGGTTGCAGCACCACAAAACGAAGGGCTGCCCGCATGGCGATGTAACCCTCGCCGACAGCTGGTCAAACGATAAACTGTCCAACAGATACACGAGGCGGCGGGATGCCCCTACGTCTAATCCACAAAGTGTTCTCTGTTTACGGGCGTCACGATACTATTTCCCGTCGCAAGCGCTTACGGAAGTCTCAAGGCAGCACATTAGTGCTTATACGAGCACTCTGCTGTTTCTCCTTGTAGTAACCGACTGACCTATATCTAGCGGTGATAGGTAGTTCAGCATTACATGCGGGGGAGAGTCAGTAAACAGGTCACAAATGGAAGTAAACAGCTGTAATTGATGTAATTAGTTTTCTATATGTATCAGTAGGTAGCAGCACAATCCAGTTTCACGACAATCTAGGTAGCAGACGCGAATGCGCATATTCAGAGGTTGGTTTCAGTACTCAAAATGACGATCGTGTTTGAGGTGTACACTACCGAAGAGCAGGTTTCCGTGGTGCGTTTCTCTGTGGACAAAAGGACACAGTGCAAAGGATACGTTTCCTCTTTACTGTGGGAAGTGCTTGTCGCGTAAAGAGGTTCGCAAATGGGTGGTAAATGTTTAGTTGATGATGAGCAGGTTAAAATGAAGGTACCGACGTGGCTGAGACAAGTCAGAAGACTTCTGTGCTGCGGGTTTCGACGCACTGGTTAAGCGATGGGGCAAGTGTAGCCGTGTTGGTGGAGGATGTGTCGAGAAATAAATGTTTTTCACAGGTTCAAATATCACATGATTTACGTTTTATATCCATCTTTGACCTATTTACTGACTTTCCCTCGTAATGAGTCAAATGGTAGGATGACTGATAAATGAATTAGAACAGTTTTTGACGAAGCGGTAGTGGTCAAATTGACACATTATCCCGAGAGCTCCCTGAAGGGAAACCAGGAACTGCATCGGTGAGGACAACCTGTGTTCCAGATGATATTTGAACCGAGAACCTCTGTATACAAGTCTATAGAGTTACCGCTGAACCAACCTGCTCGCAACATGCGATTATTTAAGCCCTAGAAATCTTCAGTTCTCATATGAGTAAATAACAGTTTATTTAATTAAAATTAAATTAATTAATTTCCTATATCACAGGAAACACAGTGTGTCACGAAAAGTGAAGTCTTATAGATTTTAATGTCGTGCAGTTCAGATAGGTCCAACGTTATAGAGGAAGATATTTCCTCCATCTTCAGGGTTGAACAGTTAAGTCAAGCCAGAAACCAGCAGAAGCCGACTCAGCTCGGCACCTACTTCTGCCAGTTTTTGCTTGGCTTACTCTGCGACTTGAAGATGGAGGCGATATGTTCCTCTGTAACGTTGGGCTCTTTCCGAACTACACACCGTTGTGACGCGGAAGACCGAACCCAATCATACTCCCCGCCGTGAGAACCCCAAATACAACAACAGTGCGTTTCATTACAAAAATCCAATCAGTGAATGCTGCTGCATGGGGGAGAAAAAAATCGCTGTTTTCCTGAGAATCATATGAAACCCAATAAATATATAGCGTATAAAGAATGAAAAGTATTTAAAAACATTTGTATATCGTACATGTACTAGTAATTGTGTTTTAAATAAAACAGAACTAGTGAACATTGTAGGTTTACTAGTTAAAAAATTGATTTAACAACATTTAGACTTTCTACATTCTGTTATGAAATGTCTCTTTGTGTCCTTTTGAGGCAAACATTCTATTTAAACATGAAAGAAACATTTAATTACAATTCGACTTCGTCAAAAAATAAAACACATTATAAACTGAATTCATTTAACGTGATTTAAACGCAAGAACTTTCATTTTCCTCGCGTGTACGTGACAAAGGCATTCATCAGCACAAAACCAAGCCTAGTTGTTCCGTGAGATGCCCATGCTCAAAGCTTTTATGCGGGGTGGGGGTGCGAGGGTAACGCTGAGACAGCCCAGCGTTAGTTGCCTTCTTCGCCCTGGGGGCAACGAGCATTGTCTCAATTATGACGTTCAACATAGGATGTTGCAGACATGCACACAACCTCCATGGAGCTGAGTTCTCCTCTAGAAGCCAGCAGTTACTCAGCTGCTCAAGAAATTCCCAGAATTACTGTGTTTTAAGGAGCCCGCCACTAATCCATATCTTGAGCCAGATGAATCCAATTCGTATCCCAATACTATTTCTCTAAAATTCATTTTCTTGTTATTGTCCCACCTTTGTTAAGGCCTTCCTAATTGTTTATTTCTTTCAGATCTACAGATCACTATAGCACACGCTGAGTGGTCACCAGTCTTTCCCTAGTAACGGCTTTAACAGTGGAGATTCTTCAGCTTTGGTGCTCATTTCGTTACTTGATGGCTCTCAATTGCACCGACTAAACCTTATCCTCACAGACTCCCTTACAACTCTGACGAACTTCAAAATCCGTCTCGGTTAAAACATCTCGGCACGGACCGCGCAGAGAGCACCGTTCATTGTTGTACTCCAATCATTTCCATGGGAACGTGTTTCTTTGTGAAGGCGTTACTCAGCAATTGCTGCGTATACTTTGTTATTAAGAATCTGTCTCCTAGTAGTGGATGTTATTTCATTATTTGTTATGAAGTCGTTACCCTGCAACGGGCCTACACGCTACAATATAGAACAACCTGTCATTAAGGTAAAGTTGTTCTTGTGCTTAACTAATTAAGCACTACTTTATGCAGGTGGGAGTGGACGATGTATAAATCCATGCATTGTCCTTGGCACTAGTTGGAGTGGTCAGCTTCACACTCCGACCGCTTTACCCCAGAAAAAGAGCCCTCCGTTCCCATTAGCTAGGAGGCTGGATGGGCCCCCAGAACCGGTCAGGACGACGCGGAGAAGAGAAAAATATAGCTGCTACCGGGACTCGAACTCTGACCCCTCGGCCGTCCAGCTCGTAGCCAGTCGCTACATTGACTGCGCTATCCCGGCTTCACAACCCATCATTACAATGACAAATAGTCATGAGAAGATACTATGCTTCACACGATACACAATGATGACAATGTAATTTGTCAGAACTATTCACCAGGGGCAATTTACTTAGACTGAGGTCAAGGACAGAAGTCGCACGGATGCACCCCTTCAGCATTTCCCTCGAACTATCTTGCGCACTACCAATTTTCCTCCTTCAGCCGCTTAGCTTTTCTTAAAAAGGAAGAAGCTTCCGTACTCTGTAAGCAGCCAAATGTCGGATTTGAGGTTTTCACTGCGGTTACTATGAAGAATGCCGTCTTCTGGGATGTGACGCGTGTAGATATAGTATAGACCGAGGTTTCGGAAGAACGTATCGCCTCCATATTCAGGGTAGAAGAAAAAAGAAAAAAATCCTCGAGCGATGAACCAGCGTGAGCAGGTGGCTACAAACTTTTTTCTTCTACTCTGAAGATGGAAGTGATAAGTTCCTCTGAAACGTCGGTTTATACTATATCTATACGACACCACATCTCAGAAGACGGAATTCTTCATAGCCAAATGTCGGTTCAGAAGTGTTAATACTGTGTTTGGTTAGGGCTGTAGTAATCCGTATCAGAGAGCGCTAAGAAAAGAATTTCGAGCAGTGGTGCAATCAAGATTAGCAAAGGAAAACTGAAGAAACTCTGCAAAAAATAACATTGCTTCAGTACTACCTCGGCTACAAAGCTCATGTGTAGTTACCTAGGATTTGGACCCCAGCCTCCGCGGTGAGCGGCCTGTGCCTTACTGCCTGAGCTATGGCACGGCCTTATTTAAGGTCATTCTGTCCACAGGAATGTTGGCAGTGACCCACACGATAACCTTCGGAATGGACAAGCGTCTGGGCTTGATGTCGCCATAGGCAGATGCAGTACCCTCAGTACAGTGACGTAACGTTTCCCACAGCCGAGCATGGAGGTTGCTTACCTGAGTGGTTCGTTCCTTGCACTTGTCTGAGGCTGCGAAAATGTTGAGCTGTGTGCTGCCAGAGGGCAGAGGGCACTGGTCAATGTCCACTCTGCGCAAGTCGATGTCGATGCCGCTGGTTCCCCTGCAAGCAAGAAAACAGGTAAAGTTGTTCTGATTCACTGACCGTCTTATTTTTATCCAACTTGAGCACAATTAACAGCTATACCATGAAGATTTATGAGTGTGTGGAGGCATAGCTCCAAGCATTCTTAACTTCGTTACTATATGGAGTTAACCATAATGTTAATACTGTAACTTGTATAAGTGACTATAGACGGGGTCTGGAAGAGTGACTCGATTTATTGACCACTTACAGGTCATACAAATAGCTATAACACTATCGCTAATGTTCATACTTCACGAATCACTACACGCTAAGACTTCTCCAGCCTTCAGTGTCTTCACTAGACGTTTCCTGGTAACGGATTTTAACAGTGGAGATTCTTCAGGTTCACGTGCTTAAGCCTTCGCTTTACAGGCTCCCGTACAAAACTGACTCTCAACTGACCAAGCTTCAAACCCCGTATCGCTTATAACCTCACTTATTTCATCATAATTGTTTCATAGTGTCTCCCAGTGGCGAATAAATTAATCTAGATACCGTTAATACTGGTAGTTTTGGCGCTAACATCCTTGAGATTTTCATGTTATCCGGCTCCCTAATCCGTCCAATCAGATCCGTTTATCTGCCTTTAATTACATTTTGGGGAGTACATCTCTCATTGGGGCCCATCCCTTTTCATTATTTCCTTTTGATGTTAACCCAAATAAGAGTGAAGGGGAGGTGAATGAAAGGTGAGAGGCTCGGCTACAGTTCGGAGGAGCAGGCAGTCTCCAATACAGGCAATAATGGTAAAGTTACATCTACATCTGAACACCATGCCACGCATGAACAAACGACACCATTTAAAATGAAATAGCTTATTATTTATTTCCTTTTTATTCCTATAATTCATTATACCCCTCCTGTTTTGTCTATTTTTAATGCATTCCATTTTATTCGTTCTTTAATTTATTACTTCTCCCATTTACTTTATGCTTCAGTTATTTATGTTTTCTTTTTCATGGATGTTATTCATCTCTTCCTCCTCCTTTCCTTTCAACTTTTCTTGCCCAAACATTTCCTACCATTGTCTAAAACATCTCTGAGGATTCATCACCATCAAACAGCGACGTGGACAGTTAGAAATGGGAAGCAAAACTGCCGACACATCACGGTGAACACAGAGGACGTTGCCTCACAAGTTTGACTACTTGAGGTACGACGAACTCCCAACGATGTTTCAAACACAGAATGTATTTCTTTCATTTTAGTTTTCCTCTTTCCTCTACGTGGGCGTATTCTCTCTTTCCTTTTCTTTATGTCAAATTGTTCGTCTATTTACGTCAGTCTGTACGTCATCCTTTGTTTTCTACCGTGTACTTTCGTATCCGCACCAACATCACATGTCCGCCCATACATTTTCATGTCGAGATGTATTCGTACAAAACCAAATTTATCTCTTGCCGTTATTATAAATGAGATTACTATTACATTTCTCTTCTTGCAACCTTGAGGTTTCTATGCCTTCCTGAAAGTGTGAAGAGCGCATTCCTCTACAGCGGCAGGCATCTGAGACACGAGTGTGATATCTCTGTATCGTTTGGCGTGGAGTCGAACCCTGCAACTATCGATCGTGCTAAGTGACCTGCGTACCAATACATTACACTGTCACAAGTTGGAAACATCGGACTGCAAGAGCCCACTGAGGCCTACATAATCAGAACGAAAGGAAACACTGGCCCAATAACACTGTCATCTCTGACCACTGGCGTGTCGCATCTCGAACAAAACTGGTGCGCGACGTTTCACGTTCATTGAATTTATTGACAGCAAATTTCGACTGAAACATCTCCGAGGTTACATCATCTTGGGTAGGCAACCTTAAGGAAGAGAATTCCTGTCGGTATGGTGATTCTGGTTCCTACTGTACGTTTAAAATAAGATCTGCTCACTTCTCTGATGATGACGTGACGGTCTGCATCACTGTCTGATAACGAAGCATCCTTGGTGATATTTTAGGCACCGGATTTAGGGACTTTAAGCCGTGGGTCCCGTGTCGTAGATTTACGGCACGTAAAAGATCCTCATGTCTCTAGGAGAGCTGTGAGCAAAATTAGGCAAAGTTTCCCGCCCAAATAGTTTCAAATGCCTCCGGTAGATGGGGAAGTATCGGGAACAACTGCCAGCTTTGCTGGCTGAACGGGGCTGATAGCGAGCACCAGTACCGGCAGGGTATGGCAACTGGTAGAATATCAAAGGGGGACGTACAATAGACTATTAGTCGCGGTGCATGGGGAGACCCACCCCCTCCAATAATAATAATAATAATAAGACACAGTCTTAGCACTTCGGCTGCTAGAGTTAAATCATAGAAAATATGCAGTTATTATCAGAGGAACGTCTTTACGATTACCACAATAACTGAATGAAGGAGAACGAGATACGCGCGCAGGTAGCACGAACAAGAGAGACAACACTTCACTGGAGAGGGATCAGCTGCGAGACGTGTGCTCACATGGCAGGATAATGCTACGGATATGCCTGTACTTAAGCAGACGGTGCATGGGTGTGTGGTCTAAGGATTCATTTCGCTCCTAACAGTCCAGTAATGAACTTTTGTGAACACGATAATGAACCTTCGGGGTGTTGGACTTCAGGTTCTCACAGAAGTGATTAGCTTCGGGGATGTGCCACCGTTTATTCCGGAAGTGCACTGACGTTTCGGACACACTCACTGCCTCCATCTTCAATATCGAATAAAAATCCAAGCAAACAGTAAGAAAGCCTGGGACAGTATTTTCTATGGAAACGTCTATTTTATGCTTATGGCTGGACTCCTACTTCCACACCAGTATTAAGGAAGTGTCCCCAGCAGGCAGGCTATGATGGTAACCCTTATCCCCGCCACTCGCGAAAATTCTTTGGCCGGCTCAGCTATATTCAGTGGACAGTCTTAAGGCTGATCTAAAGAAACAGAGACAATCGAACCGGTTCCGTGAGTCGTAACTCGACACGTGCCACGATACGCAGTTTCAAAGGGTACAGACACGTGACTACACATCTGTGAGCAGAGACAACCAGGCTAGGGATCACTACAAACGTAAGCGCAAGGGCTTCACATTACCGAAGCACGTCGCCACTCTATATGGCTTACTGTATTTACGTGAGCGTCCGAATGACACAGCGCCGTGTCACGCCATAGCTACGGCATCTAGGCGCAAGATTCACACTCTGGCAGGCCGGCTTCGATTCCAGATCAGGTAATGTGTGATTTGTTGTGGACACAGTAGCACTGAGGCTGGTTCTGTCCGAGCACTTCTGTTTACCTTGTCAATTTCCTTTCCACCAACTGCTCCGTATTCAGTAACCATCCTACAACGGATGCCTAGAATCTTGATAACTCCAGTGTGGTTACACAACTAGTATATGGGGCACCATTTTCGTTTTCGGAGTACCAACAGTTAATTATTTCAGAGTGACATGCAGTAGTGCACTGACACAGGATATATTAATTTTGTTTATTGATTCTTGATTGAAATTCCGTTAGAAAGAGGAAACTATATTAAGGGGGGGGGGGATCACAGTGGAACACTGCCAAATACCTCTTTAATTAACAATTCAGTGGGGCCTGTATCAACCAGAAGGAATGCACACTGCAACTATATCAAGCAGGCTGTAGTTCGGGCGGAATCCATAGGAAATACGATTCCTATGTTTTTAGACATTTGAAACCAATCAACATTCCAAATTCATGTACCTCCTTTCTATTAGTGTATATCTAACAGATTCATTTATATTTACCATTTAATAATTCTACGCGAACGTAATACGGGAATCTGCACTTGTTTGCTCTATACGAGTATTATGGGGCTGACCGTTGGAATGTTTTGTTTCAATGATAATGGTGATCACGGTACATGAAACTGCAACAGCAGTAACATTGCACAGTGACACTCCGCACACGCATAACAACGGTAACTACACCACAACAGAAATCAGACCTGTAAAGCTCAGCACACAATGTATCAGCTGCCCACGCAGTGCATTTACGTGGTCAGCGCGATTCTCAGAATCTACAGGAACGATTTCCCCAAACGGCATTAATCGGGTGGCCGGTGTAATGGAGAAGCAACGTGTCTCGTGTCAGGTACGAAACGGATATATAAACATTAATTACATGAATTCCAAATTTCATGGAAACAAAGTGAACCAATGGCGGTGTAATGATGGGGTTTCAAAGTAGAGTGATGACTATGCAATGACGATTGCGTTTCATATTTTGATGGGTATCGTGTTTCGCAGTGTGGTGATGACCGTGTCCTGTGATGCGTCACTGTGCAGTGCGCATGACACTCAATTTCAGTGAAAATAAGTCACAGAAGAGACCGCAGTTCCTAAACTGTAACTGCCAATAACATAGATTTTAAATATGGTTGTAAGCCACATCGGGACTCGAAGCCAGACACTACTATGTTAGCTAGAAGGTCAACAGCAAACTACTGCTCTGCTCTGCTGTTCCCCCAAGATTTCAGGGAATCTGTAGGGATCAGACAGAACATCGTTCCGTTACTGGTACCCAGTGCACCAAATTAGCGTCCTTCTCCGAAATGTTTGTAACCGAGTACCAGACTATCGGATGTCGAAATACAGAAAAATACAATTTACATTTTATACTATTATTATTATTATTTTCGATATTTAATGCTGGTTCCCTCATTGTAAGGGAAGAATACAGATTGATAACGCTTGAGAAAAATCGCCGTGGGAAATATCTGTAACTAAGAAAATACAGTAATTGGGGATTGGAGAAACTTACATAGCGAGAACATCCGGAGATTACACTCTTCACGAGACAAAAACAGGGAGATGGCTCAAATGAAGGCACAAGATACCAGAGGGCCCCATTATGACAATGAGAAGTGTATACACACTTTCAGTTGAAATGCCCGTAAAAACGAGACCAATTCGAAAACCACGGCTTAGCGGGGAAAATAATATTAAAACGGATTTTAAAGAAACAGGATCCATTGGCGGGCCCT